TATTATTTGGAATATATTAGCATTCATTTATTTGTTAAATTTTATGTTAAATAATCACGGAAAATATTTTAAATGAAAATATCGATTTTTGAGCTAAGAGCAAAATATTGGTGATATGAGTATCATGAGAAATACACGTTGAAAAAAACTTTTAACTTAATTTTTGACCCTATAATGAAGAATGTTTGGCTCAGCCACTGCTCAAAGTTACTATAATGTAACTAATAGGTACTCTTAGCACTTGTTTGATCCCCATTATATTTAAAATACATTTCTCTTTCTCTTATTTTCATTCACACATTCTTTAATAAAATAATATTACATGCAAATTCAAAACTTTCCATGTTTTTTTTTACCACATATTCTCTATTAAATTACTATTCTAAAATGCATTTTTGGAGAATAATGAGCTCAAACAGGCTCTGTTTGAAATATTTAAACAAGAAAAAATAATAAGTATAAAGCAAAAGTTATATTATATAATAAAAGAATTTTAAATAATTTAATCAATGAGCCCGAGATGTTTACATCTCAGTATTTTTTTGAAAAATTAAGTGTTGACCTGTCCATGTTGGCGCACCATAGCAAAAAGGAAAGGGTGGGTGAACCGCGTAAAACAGCAAGTACACTATAGTAATTCGTGAGTTCAGGGAATGCTAATTTAATATCTGACAGCGGTACACAATGCCAAATTTCTGAGTTATACACGTGTAGAAATGATTTAGGAAAGGGAAATCCAGTTATGAATATCTTATTGGGATGGCATTGGACTTTGATAAACATCAGGGTGCTTTTTTCCTTTCATTTTTGTTTTTTATTCTCGATACTTTGATTTCATTTAATTGCACTTTATTTGCTTTGCATCAAATAACTATATGCTTATTCAGCTATTCTGTTTCATAAAACGACTACAGCTTGAAGTTTCTTCTGTGCTAACTAATTTTAATCTAGACCTAAGCATAGAGTCTGCGTATAACTCATTCTGCCTCTTGCAAAAAGCTTGAGAAAGTGATAATAACTAAATGCAAGCCATTGACATTATTCTTGACTACAGTATTTTCTCTTTTGAATACGTGAGTTTTCATGAGTTTATAATTGACAATAAGAACATTGAATTCCTTTGATTTCAAACTTATATTCTTCTTATGTTCTTATATTGGAATTGGAATGATTTTTTACTTTGAGTAACTAATTACTTCTTCAGAGAATATTATGATTGCTCTACCTTTTCTGGTAGTGCATAACTGTCCGTCTTTTCTCTTATCCCATTGAACAGTTTTTTCTGTGTGTGCTTCAGGTTGCCTCTTTCTTATATTACCAAGAGAATATGAATGTTCTTGTTGAACCTGAGGTTCATGACATATTTGCCAGAATTCCGGGGTTTGGATTTGTTCAAACCTTTTATAGTCAAGATACAAGGTTCAGAACCTTCTCTCTCTTCCAAACTTTTTTCTTTTTCTTTCCTTTTTTCTATTTTATTCTGTAGCACTAATACTCTGATCTCCCCTATTTCTTCTAATGCAGTGACCTTCATGAGAGGGTTGATTTTGTGGCTTGCTTGGGAGGAGATGGAGTCATACTCCATGCTTCAAACTTATTTAGAGATGCAGTTCCTCCTGTTGTCTCATTTAATCTTGGATCCCTCGGATTTCTCACGTCCCATACTGTATGTCTCTTGACTGAACCCTTGTGTTGAACTTTCTCTAGCTTATAAAATCTGTTTCTTCTTTACTCGTGTCTTTTGCTTTATACAGTTTCAAGATTTTAAGAATGACCTAAGACAAGTTATACATGGGAACAACACGATTGATGGTTTATATATAACTCTTAGAATGCGTCTCCGCTGTGAAATGTTTCGAAATGAAAAAGCAGTGCCAGGGAAGGTATTTGATGTCCTCAACGAAGTTATAGTTGACCGTGGTTCCAATCCTTACCCTTCCAAAATTGAATGCTATGAACATGATCGCCTCATAACAAAGGTACAGTAATCTAGTAAATACTTTTGTAATTCTTACTATTTTATAGGGCTATAGGGAATATCTACATTATCATTGCTTTCTTTAGCTGAAGTCAAAATTTACTGTTTAAATATAATTTATAGACATTTGTTCTCAAGACTTGAAATCTGAGGGAAAGGAGTACTTTCCTATGGTTGGTGCATGATAGTTCCAATCATTCTTTTGATAGGTACAAGGTGATGGAGTTATAGTAGCCACTCCTACTGGAAGTACAGCTTATTCAACTGCTGCCGGAGGGTCTATGGTAAGCTGGCATGAGTCCAATAATTAGAAGTATTTTATCTTGCTTGAAAATTATATGTAAATTTAGTTGCTGTACAAGCTGGATTGACAGACATGGAAACTTTCGTGATGCTTGAGGATTTTATTTAAATTTAACTGCATTATGAAAGATATGCAACAACAACAAAGAACGAACTAAGCCTTATATGTATTGCATTATAATAGATATGCAAAATTAGAATATGAAGGACTTCTGCACGAGGACAATCTCCTGAAAAAAATTATTCATGCGAAGATTCACAGGGCTGGTTAAATTGTTACTGTTTGGTTTGGGATAAAAAGCGATTCAATATTTTTTTTTCCAAGTAGCACATATGCTAAGTTCAACATTATAATTGTGAGAGAAGAAATGCCAGCAAGACAAATTAAAACTTCTTTTTACTGGTTTCAACGAAATGAGTCATTTTCTCTCCTGAGCCCGAGGGATATGTGGTTGCTACATTGATTTCTGGTAGAAATAATTGGAACTTTTGTATTAGTTGTTTTAGTGTTTCTACTTGCTAGTGGGTGGAACTTTTTTTTTATTTTTATTTTTT